ATCAGACGATGCATAATTACTAGCACCATTTGAATGAATTTTGTACCTAAATTTATATCACAAATGAACCATATACATGTACATCGGACATAGATTTTAAACAAAATTATATATAACATGTTTTTGACCAAATCGCTATTCTCCCAAATGAGCCTTGCATCAACCAGAAAATTCAAGTGGTCTGACGGACCAGTGGGTTTTAAAATTAGGTGGTCCTTGCCAAAATCAAGTGGTCACGGACCAACGGACCACCGCTAATGTCGAGGCCTGGTTATAATTCTCACCACTTGAATTGTCAGCATGCTTTACAAATTACAGGTCAGTGTTTTTTTCATTTCTCACATTACATTGTTAAGCTTGATACACATACGGCTGTATCATATTGCAACAAATATTGTAAGCTGAATTAATAAGCAGCATAGAATTACTGATAATTGATACGCACACACGCACGCACGCACACACACAAAATAAAAAAAAAATAAAAAAGGAAAAATATATAAATAAAACAAAAACAACAAGTAAAAAAAAGAAAATGAGAAAGCCACAGAATGAGTGATATTTATTTAAAACTGATTAAAAAAGAAATACGATATTCTAAGTTTAATTTTCATCCTTATGATACTGTACATACGTTGCATATTGCTGCTGTTATGTACTTTGCGGCAGTTGTATCTCAGTTTTGTTATATACCAATACTTTTAGTGTTGAAGGGTATAAATCTATACCTTACGAAATATTTTAATAACATTTATCAACAGTAAAATAACATTGGTTCCGTTATTATATGGTTGATTCCAAAAAGGGTTGTAACATAGAAGGTCTGTCTTATTTAACACACATGGATGTTGTACGTGAAATAATAAAAAGTTCCGGAACAAAATATTATTTTCTATTTTAAATAGCGTTTTATCCGTTTAGCTATGATTTTGTACATGCGTCTCAATTTTCTACCATGTTTATTTTATATAAGCATTTTTTTTTAAATCAAAACAAAAGAATCAAAGATAATTTTTTTAAAATTCAAACAATATTTTTTTATGCAGATAGATCTATATGGCTTTATACACTTTTACAATTTAACAACGCCTAAACCGGTGCTCATGAAAAGGCTAAAAAAAAACTTTATTTTGCAGTTTTCATTTCACTCGAGGTTTATCCATTTTTACAGATTTCTAGTTAGACATTTAACTTGTGCGATAATGAAACGTTATAATAATCACATACAGGTATTACAGGTTTGAAACATTTATTAATACATCTGAAAGATGTTTTTAACCCATCATATAATTTCATGTAACAAATTTCAAACGTTTTACATATTTATGATCCCATTTCAAGTTTCCTCTATATGTTACGCGTTTTGTGAATTATGTTCTGCATGAGAATGTTATTTATTCAAAGAGGGCCTTATGAGCTATTTGAAGATACTTTTGTCAAGGTTAAACTAGATTGCACATCAGTAATACGTATTAAACAATTAATGCGGGAAAAATAGAGAGAGTACGTTTGGGTTGAAGATTGAAGACTGACGGAAGAGGTTAAATAAAATGGCTCCTGGTGTGGACAAATACGCAAGTGTAATGCTAGTCAACACTCGACACATTGCACTCGCGTGAAATAGACAAGAAGGCAGACCGACAGGCAAGTAGATACAGAAACTATCATATACTCTCATTTAAATAAGAAAACATTTTTTTGCGATTCCTCGTCACAAGATACTTCGAGATCTTTCGAGGATACCTGAAGCTTGTATATAAAGGCATGAATCGGTACGGATTTCGAGAAAAGTCGTCAAATTCATGACCAAGATACATCTGGCTGTAGGCGAACAGTTATTGAATGATATTTCTGAACAATCTAGGGACATAGGTCATTGTTACTACTTAACTAATATGCTCAATATGTTCCTTTATTATTACAATATATATTGTATTCTATGTGATTTAATTTGTGTCATTTTCACATGCAATCAACGTATTCTGTAATAGGAATAGCAAGCTTTCGTGTCTTTATCAATTGTGTTTGCTAAATTTTCCATGTCGATCTTATTACTGACAATATCAACCAAAAATCTACAAAAACTGTTTGTTTGTTTTTTTTGTTTTTTTTTTGTTTTTTTTTTTTTTTTTTGGGGGGGGGGGGGTTACGTCACATCGACACAGTATAGGTCATATCGCGACCGTTCCAGTTTTTACTGGCGGAGGAAGACCTCAGGTGCCCTTCCGTGCATTATTTCAGGCACGAACGGGCACCCGAGTAGAACCACCGACGTTCTGTAAGCTAGCTGGATAGCTTCCTCACATGAAAGAGTCCAAAGTCCCTGTCGGGACTCGAACCCACAGCGGTGAGGGGCAAGTGGTTTGAAGTCAACGACCTTAACCACTCGACCACGGCCGCCCCACTCTAGAAAAACTACCGCTGAAACAAATTTAGTTGTTTTTACTTAAAAATTTCCATTTTCTTCTAACATATTACGGATACTGGTGTATGTATTAGAGAAATAAATTCGGTGCATAATCTGATAACTTCATGGCATTGTTATTTAAACAAATAAGCCATGACTAGCTATAGGTTTCAATTAATCTCGAGAGTGAAACAAGTTCTTGCAATATAAATTGATCACTTTCGAGTCATCTTCCAGGATTCAACCAGTACTGGTGTCGTATGAAGAAACGTGGTCGAGACCCAAGCAGGGCTAGAACCCATTATCCCTGGGTTGAAAGGCAGACACCGTTACCAATACGCCATCACTACCTAAGCTATGTACATTAGATCGTCTATCAAAATGTGATAGAAAGACATATCTAAAATATGATAATATCGATACACAATGTGGCCATTGATGAATCATGATCGGGTTTTAATGTCATACGACTATACCGGCTTGCAATAAGAAAGACATCGAAACTAAATATGATGCCTGAGTGTAATTTTAAAGATCCTGTAACACATTTTTTTCATGGTTTTATTTCATAAATATGATGCTCAAATTAAGATTTGTCAATATTGTTAGTTCAAGTAAGCATTATTTATAAAGATATTACCGAATTTACGTTTCATGTAAAGACAGGGAGGTAATTAGAAATTTAGAATTTTCTATACATTCTAAGTCAAATTTTCCAATAAGAAACGAATGCATATAATTTATTGATTAAATATTTTGTGCATAAATATTTGCAGTACACATTTTACATAATTATTCTTTGATGTTTGGAAATTGTTTTAATTGCATAACTATATACATATATAAGTTTTTGCAAGTGTGGTATACACACAGTAACAATATCAATCACAAAACATACAGGATCTTTAAGGATTTGATAAACATGTAATTTTAAAGAGATCCTTCATCATCGTCATAACCAAGCACTGCTTCTTGATACGAGTTATAGGTAAGTCATGTACAGAAATGTAAAAGGGCCTCCAATAAGTGAGATCATCATAAGTAAGGAAACTGATTTTAATTTGATTTAATTAGACGTTTAACATCAATTTATTAAAAAAAACATTTATTTCGCCAAACCTTTTCTCGATATGTGCAGGCGAAAATGTATCTTTTCGTCTTTTGTAAAACATCTGTCTGTTTTGACAAAATTTCGCCTGGACAAAAACCTTCAAATGTTTTGAGATAAGTGACTGAGATTTACAAATATGGCCTAGTCTTTGTGAATAAAATGAATTGATTTGTGCTAAAACATCGAATCAAATCAAACAAAAAGAAGTTGTATAACACCTAATGATCGCACTTAATGGAGACCCTTTAACGTTTCCGTAGTCATGACAATAAAGTAATTTTGCTAGTGATACTAGCATTTATTTCGTTGTTAAAAAAAGTGTGTGTTCCTCTTTTCCTTTCGCTTTAGGTCACATCATTAGAATTTCACATCACAATATAATAATATATAACTTGCAAAGTTTTTTTTCTTTTTCTAATTAATAAAAAGTGTTCAAGGGTTCTTAAATCTCATTTAAAATACAAAACTATATTTTTGTGATGTTTATTGAGAATCAGACAGCCACATAAATACTGTATCTAATTTTTGTACCACAACAATAGAACGTCGTCATAGATATAATTAACGTATAGAATAAAACGAATTCGAGAGTAAATTTTCAACGTTAAAACAGAAACAATATTGTGTGTGTTTTAAGATCTTGTAAACAATGGATCGTAAGAAGCTTGTGAACTGCCAAATTGTCTCCAACCTGCTTCAAACACTCCATCTTATCTGAAATAACAACTTGTGTTTTATTGTTGTTAACGTGTTTATTGATACAAAATACAATAATAAGAATTCATATATACTCATTTGCAAAGATATTTAAGATTAAATGAATAAATAAATAATAACAACCAAAGCTGTTTTTAGCACTGTTTTTTTCTAATCTTTAAATGTGTAAGTCGAAGATTTTGAAATTTGAAATAACGTACAAAAATTTGTTTAAATTTGTGTAGTAGTACATTTTATATGAAAGATTTTTATGGTATTATACCCGTACACGTGGGCAATATCGGAATGAACCCGTGTTCAGTTGTGCTAAAATTATTTACTTTCTTATCTGAGAGTACTGTGAGCATGATAAATATAAGCTGCATCATGACAAAACAGCATAATGGGTTTGCGACCAGCATGGATCCAGACCAACCTGCACATTCGCGCAGTCTGATCAGGATCCATGCTGTTCGCTATCAGTTTCTTTACTTGTTATAGGATCTGTAAGCGTACAGCATGGATCCTGATCAGACTGCGCGGATGCGCAAGCTGGTCTGGATCCATGCTGGTCGCAAACAGATTACGTTGGTTTTGTCGTGACGCGGCTCAATTATAAGATCTCAAATCTCAGTTTATTTTAAAATGCATTTTATTTTTTAAAAAAGCTCATCGAATTAGTTTTTTTGTTTGTTTTAATTTGGAATGATTATGATAATTGTTATTTTTATAATTACTTATCTAGTTCTTATAGATGTATAAATTAAATGTTTTACCTAAGAAGTTCTAATATCCCAGTCCAGTCAACCATGACTGTACGGATGGTAAGTTAGTTTCCAGCCAGTCATTCCATATCTTCATATCTAGAAGAGCCAGTTGTAAATAATAGTTAATGTCTGGTTTATCACCAATGTCGTCTTTCACATCTTCCAGAAATCTCTCAAACTATTGCCATGGAATTAAAGTACTTTTATATAAATAACAGAAAATAATGAAAACTTCAACTCTTTGGAATAAATCTTATAAGATAAATATATGTTTCAATTGGAAAAGCATTTTGATTTCACGTGCATATACTTTTGATGATATTCATGTTCATATGAAATTTAATTTAATTCCGTTAAAGTAATCTTTATAATTTGACATACTATTCGAACAATTTACATTAAAATGTATTTAACATATTAAAGACTTTTCCTGTAGTTTCTTCATTTTTCACACAGACAAAAAAGGAAAATCTAAACAAAATTTTTTTAAACATAGTTGAAACAAACATTTGAGAAAACTTGATGGTAACCATCTTAGAGAAATAAAAGTGAGTTTTTGCTCATTTAAAGCCATTTTAAAAATATATAATTTAACGTAAACAACACTAAATTTGATTTCAAATTCATGGACCGTCCTTTAGACCCTATGCTTATTACAGTTAACCTCACCCTTTCTGAAGAAAAATGCTACGAAGCATAGCAAAATACAAGTTAGATAACATTGTTTTAAACTGCCCAGTTAAATGAGAGTAACAAAGAATAGAATGGAATAAAAGTATCAAAATGCTCGATTCTGAGCAATCTGTTCCTGAAAATGACCCATAAGAGTGAAAAAATAACAAACAAAAAAACAAAAAACAACAACATAAAACAATGAAATTGACGAATTTAAAACGTTAAACATATTTACTGTAACCGGGGTACTTTTTTTTAAATCAGCTTACGATAAGGTAGTGTTGTTTTTCAAATTGTAAAGTCTCTGATATGGATAAGTTATCCTACTAAACTGACAGCAGAAAATTCATCAATTATCCATTTTTAATGTGATGCGAAAACAAATTTAACCATAAATCATTAACTTTATAAAAAATCACTCGTGAGGCGGCATGTACCTTTTAGATTTGATGTATAATATTATAATCTTCGATTGAATGTTTTAATATAGTATTAACAACAATTTTTTTTAATTTACTTTAAATAGTAAACTATCGTGGTTGAATTTGGGTGATCCCCCAATATAGAGACCGGCTGTAGGGCATTTTCTTTTCATAGCTAAATAGTGCGACAAAATTTGCTGTCAAAGTTGAAAAATTACCTTTGTTAATTCTTCATCTGTGGAAAATTCGTTTATGATTAGGTATATATAAAACCCAACTTCAATTTGTTCGAGCTCCCTAAAATGTGCAAAAGTAATTATCTTTTTGTACAATTTCTAGTGAAATATAATTTATTAAATAAAATAAGAGAGCCCGCTTTAAAGCTTGAATTGTATCAACATCAATAGCAAATCTCACCTTGACCTTTCTGCTAGTTGTTTACCTTACTTACACGAAAATTTAATGTCATCAATGGGGTTGAAATAAATAGTTGTTAGGACCAAGTGATCTAAATTCAATTTTCATGACATTGTAATTTTACTTTTTAATGCTTCCGAGGAATCTTTTTTTCCAGATATTTACATCCTTTGATCTTCCTTTTTTATTTTCACCAACGAGTAAAAACAGGCCTATGTACCTGTCTCATTAAGTCAGAGATTCTCGCATGGAAAAAAGTCTGTTGTAAAATATATTTAGCACAAGGGTTTTTTTTGTATCCGTGTGACCAATGATGTCTTGTTAATAATTGTTTAACATCACGATATTTATAATAATACAAAAATCTAAGTTAGCTTCGTGAACCGGTAACACCAAATCAAATTGAGCCGCGTCACGACAAAACCAACATAGTGCGTTTGCGACCAGCCTGGATCCAGACCAGCCTGCGCATCCGCGCAGTCTGATCAGGATCCATGCTGTTCGCTTACCAACTCTATTACAAGTAGAGAAACTGATAGCGAACAGCATGGATCCTGATCAGACTGCGCGGATGCGCAGGCTGGTCTGGATCCATGCTGGTCGCAAACCCATTATGTTGGTTTTGTCGTGACACGGCTCAATTCTATAATCTAATCCATACTTACACAAGCCAGGTGTCCCAGACTGATAACACATAATTCCAGGCAACCGGTCTGTAAAAGAATATCATACAGCGTCTATATAGTAAAAAATAACAAATTAAAACCAACAATTACATAATGTCGTTAAATGCCATATTTTGCATGAATTTAAAATACAATCGTATTCCACTGGTTGTTTTATAGATATATGATAAAGTACCAAACAATTTGTTAACGGACATTAATTGTCCCATTTCGCACGGTAGATAAAGTTTTTTATATATTATTTCTATTCTTGCAAACCATGCAGTAGTGTATTATCAAATCTATGTTGTTGTCTTTTTTAAAGTAGAATGCAATAGCTTAGACACCTATAGAATCATTTTCCCCATGATGAATTGTAAATCAGTCTAAAAAGACTTATAAGAAAAAGGAAATGTGAGGAAGTCAGGTTTGGTGCAAAAAATAGTACGGCTGGGTACAATAGAATCATACTGGTTGTTTTAACAGATGCAAATCTTGTTGGGGTGTTCTTAAGGCAAGTGTTCCTTAAGGCTTGATACTTGGTACTTTGCTTTTTGTAATTTATATTAATGACATTGTTTAAGATCTTTAATCTAATGTTAATCTCTTTTTGGTTATACCAGTAGCAATCTTGTCATTGAAAACCCACAAATTGCAACTCAAGAATTATAATTAGATATTCAAAAAAATAACATGGTGGTCATAAAATGGCTTGCTACCTTTAATACATCTAAGTCAGAATTACTTATCATCTCCAGAAGATAAAAAAAACAGTTATCACCAACATCCCCCCCCCCCCAATATGCTTAACCAAAATGTACCAGAAGTAATTGAACATAAACACACTTGGATTTATTCTGATCTAACAATTAACAATGACACTCACATAAAGAATATTTTAGTGATAAAGCATCGTAACAGTTTTTCATAATGAGAAAATTAGAATTTGTATTAGATTTTAAATATTTAGAAATAATTTATACGTCGTTTATATGACCAATTCTCGAATATGCTGACGTTGTGTTGGGAAATGCATCTCAATATGAACTTGATCTTTTTATATTTAAAACAAATGTGCTAGAATAGTATCGGGTGCAACAAAGCTTGCTTGAAAATGAAATCAGTTGGGAAACATTAGAGCAGAGAAGTACGGAAGAGTATACTGACCCCCCTTATATATTTTATATGCCTGTTTAAAATACGACGATACATGATAACAACATAGTTCGTAATGGTTTTTTAAAAGTTATATATATAGTTCATATTGATCTTTTCTGTTTTTTGGCTTCTATACTGTCAAAGATGCGTATTATCAACTAAAGTCTTTCTTAAGACCTTACTTTTATTTATAAGAAATATGTTTTTTCTTCTTTTCATTGAAATTCTACCTCAAGAAGCAGACGTTTTCTTCGAGTAAACGCTTTTATTTATTTGAAAACAGTATGTTTTCGAGGCATTATTTGTTTGACAGATATAGAGATGATATAATCATATATAATATATATATTCTTTACCTGAGTTTTTAGCTTAGATGATGTTTTATATGTTTCGTAAAATAAGTGGATCGTTATGATAACACGCTTGCGGTACACGAGTATTATATAAAATATAATAATTTATCTGATATATATATAATAATTATATAAATGGTATTGAAACTTTGAGTAACTTACACTATAAATATTTCTTACATCTTTTTCAATAATTATACATGTTGTTTTTATATCAAAACGGGAAAAGGGCCGTTAAATATTATAATACTAGATGCGACTTATTATACCAAGAGAATCTAATTTAATTTATAAATTCATACATCTTTTTTCATGAGATTCATATGAAAAAGGCTAAAGTGTACAACTACTGTATGTTAAGAAGAACATTCTGTTTTCTTAAATTTCCAAATATCATCGAAGAAACAATGCATATTTGTGATTTATGGTGTATAATAACAGATAAAACTCTGCAAGATCTATTTTAGATATCATATAACTTGTCTATTGTTTAAAGATATGTATTATACAAAGGTTTCTTTTTCTTGAAGGCATAAAAAATATATAAGGGGGGTCAGTATACTCTTCCGTAGAGAAGTCATAACCATAGACTTATTTTTTCAAATTTAAATAAATTATGACATAGCAACTGAATACCTTGCTTCGCCTTTACCAGATCCAACAAACACTCGCTACGACTTAAGGAACTCAAATGACACAATCGGTATATCAGCCAAAACTTCATCATATTTTTTTAATTCTTTTTATGCGTGAGTGGAAAAATCTACCCCTAAACATACGAAATTTCCAACACTTTCAATATTCAAAAGTTATCTACAACGTAACAAGAAATGTACCCCCAAAATACTTCTATTATGATGATAGGAAACTTGAAATATTACTTGCAAGACTACGTACAATATGCAGATTCTTAAACTATCACTTTTTTCTTAGTAATGTTTTGTTATTTTATTTTATTTACATCATCACATTAATTCGTAGTTTTCAGTCATTTTTGAGTGCTATATAGTTTCTTACTTTTTATACATTTTCGCATCTTTATTTTTTTCAAAATATTTATATTCTCCTTTTGTAATACTTTTTGAATAATATATAACTCGGCAAATTATAGAAATACACTAAAAAGGAGATATATTTTTCAGACTTAGTCTTTCGTTCTAATCCATTTCGTGAATATAGAAATGTTTAGTTTGTATATATGTATATATGTAAATGTATATATATTTTTGAAATAAATATGTTTAGAGTAAAGTCTGAAAGAAAATGAAAAGTGACAATAAATTGATATCAATAAGCAGTGACTGATTCTTTTTAACATTCGGAAAATGATATTCAAATGTGTATTTAGTGTTAATACTAAAATATCGATTTATTCATTGTCAGTTATCCCTAGTTTGATTGGACATATTTTAAGTGTAATAAAAGGATCTATGTCGGTTTCATGTGATGTCAGGTGTCTTCAAACTGTGATGAGTGTATTGTCTACTCGTAGGTATAAAAGATGTTTTATGTACCGGCAGCAACACATTTTCAGCTAGCAGTTTTAATGGCGGTACAATTCATTGACAGCTGATGTCTTTTGTATTATATACATTCATTTGACTTGGATAGTGTTGTTTTTTTAGTGTTGAACCCTATTTTTGTGGAATCCACCCTCAAATGTATGTGATTTACTATAACGTATATAGAGAAATGTCGATGGAAACCAATAGTTATTTGCTGGTATCATATTTTCGCTTTAGTTTTAACAGTTTAGTTTAGTATTTCGCTTTAGTATTAATCACAAACGTAAATGTTATTGTAAGTATATTTTTTATTTACTCAAATAAAAATTAAATAATAGATATAGTTTCATCAAGAATGTCTGCTAACATAACATTTGTTTTGATGACACGTGCAAAGGCCACTGTAGAAAATATTCATTGAAACAGTTAAAAAAAGACAGGTACTTAAAACATTCATCTTACCGACCAGCAGGATGTCTTCCCAGAGCATACGCTATTTTTATAGCTTCCGGAACTGACGTTTTAGCAAACTCTACAAGCCTGAAATGAATAACTCATTTCAGATTATTTGTGAATGGAAATAATTTTGACATGCTAGCCGTCTAAATCGATATAAATAGAGTAGGGTTCACCTTTTGAGACACCGAAATGCACCATTAACAAACTAAAAACTAATAAATTACTTTAAGTTTTCTCTTTTGACTAATATACATTTAAAGAGTTTAAATCGTTGCTAATTATTTGTGTAAATTTTAACTATTTCATGTTGAAGTCATAGAAACAAAATATTTAAATCCAAAGTTTACTAAATTTTCGTTTGCAAGAACTAATTTATTTTCCTTAATTGCATGCACACATATTTGTGCTTGCAATCGTTTTCTTAGGCTTGTCTCGGTTATGTTTGTATACCTGCATGTTTTACATGACCACATTAGATCGTTCGTTTGTTGAGAAAGAGAGGTAATACCGTTCAAGATTGTCCACGTTAGTGCTGCAAGCTAATGCATCTATACGACGGCCTCTTATTGTACTGTCATTGTTACTCTTAAACTGTTCAAAAACGAAGTCCCAATAATTTGAATTCTCATCAGATAATGCTAGACAATACGCTTCTTCATCAATAGCTTCATCTGACCTGTGATGATATAAAACGAACTGGTATAAATGATAGATATATCTGACCTGTGATGATATAAAACGAACTGGTATAAATGATAGATATATCTGACCTGTGATGATATAAAACGAACTGGTATAAATGATAGATATATCTGACCTGTGATGATATAAAACGAACTGGTATAAATGATAGATATTTGTTTTATCATTGAGTAAGATTTACAAAAAGTGAATAAATTTAATTCCTGTAACATATACAATGAAAAATATAGTATTGCAAATGTAATAAATATTTATATATATATATTGATAAAACCAAGCAGTGGTATCGTATTTAATAGTTACCGTTGTTATTTGACAACCACATGTCGAAATGCAGACTGAGTCTTATTGTTAATACATTGCGATGTTTAGATGAAAAATAAATGAAAACTGTAATGTGCATTAGCTGCATAAAATATAGCCATTTCAATAATAATGTAAATGTTTTGAAATAATGCATAAATCTCATAATATATAGCAATAGCCGATAAAATATATGTAGTTACAAGTTTTCAGGATCAAGGCTCCAGGCAGCTATTTCCTGTATCGTCGCATTAACACATAAAGGCGACCCATAAGAGCATCCGATATCATATATGATGTCTTTCAATAACCTGCAATTACAACGTTATTTACTAACGATTTTTAGTAAAATCTGTATATTAGAAATTTCTTATTCTATATGTACATAACGTATAAATGTATAATAACATATTCCAGTATGTACTGCATTAATGTTAGGCAAAACGGACTCAGTTGTTTAATTTGTCTTTCACCCTTCTTTCTCCTACTCTTTTATTGTGTCTATAATAAGAATGAACAGAAGAAAGCGATCACCTGTTGGGTTTTGCCATATAAAAATAAAGGAATCTTTTAAAGAATTATTCAATTTTAATGTATCCTTCTTAAGTTTCCTAAAACGACATATGTCCGTGCAATATATCGATAAACATCTGGACCCGCCATTATGAAGCATGCTTATTTCAAAAGAGCAATAAAATATAATGTGTGCAAAGTGCAATACTTAGAAAACGTTCTATTGGGGGAGGATCTTTTTGTTTATGAAAATATTGAAAAGGATTTTAAATACTACCATATATATAAAAGAAAGAAAGAAAGAAAAAAAAAATATATATATATATATATATATTTTTTTTTTCTTCTTTTAAAGTTAGGAAGGTGGAAAAAATTTATACCTATAACCTGATAACCCCCATAGTCGGGCAATATACTCTCGATTGAATTTTAAGTGCAACCAAAATAATATTTAAATAGAAGAAGATACTTACTCATGTTTTAATTTCAAACATTTTTATCTCAATTATTCTTCTGATACTAAATGACACCGGAGTAGAGGCATTTTTTTACCCAATGTGCATGATTCACAAAGCTTATGTAGAGACAATTACTGGACAGTGCTACATACCAAATAGATAAGCTTATGACATTAAAGTGTTCGGTGTGTTTTCATATACATTTATGTAGATTTAATAAAACAAATGATCAACAGTGCAGGATCAATTATGACCTCTGTGCCACGATCGATTTATGTTCTGTAGAACACTACCCAAAAGGTGGCCAATGGGGCACGATTTACATCAGTTTTGTAGTGTCAGATCTACAATGCAATTCGACGTGCTAAATATCTGGTTTTGTAGTTTCATACAATAAGAATAAAATGTGTTTTTCGAATTAATCAAACCTGTGCTCTGTACATCATCTCATTAACGTTTACATCTCTGAAAACTAGTTAAAAATTCCTACCATCGAATCTAAAGATACAAAGCGGATACTAATTTGCTAAACGAAGGAAAAGAAAAAATGGTAGTGAAAAAAATACAACGTACAATTGTATGTGTGTGTAATTGTTGCTGTCCACTATAAGGGTCGTGTATATATTCTCAACTTTGTCTGATACAAATGCCTGTAATAATGGAGCAAAAAAAAATGTTATTATTGTTGAAAACAAGTAAAGTATTGTTTTGTATTGTCCAACAATATAGACCTGAGGCACCTCATTAACTTTCGTAAGGGTCATTTGACAAACCCTGACCAGTATTTATCGAATATATCGATATATTTGCTAATTTCACTCGTCAGTGAGGTTTGGTGTACTGGTATTTAGCCGACGGAATTTAGCGATTATAGGGTCAAAGGCAAGAGTGCCAGGTCAATGTTGTTGGACAATAATATTGACCTGCAACAGACCTTTTGTTGGTAATTATCGGATTCTGAATAACTGATTTTAAAGTCTATAACGGTATACATGCCTTTTAACTTGTAACTTAGTTACCGACACATTTGCTTAACTAGCCTCCATGATAAGCAGTCAAGACTTTTAGTTTGAAATTGCAGGTTGTAGGTTCGAATCTTAATGAAACATTGCTTTTTATTTTTTTATGTATATTATATTTTGTGAAACTTGACGACTAAGTTTTTGTACATGCAAATCACCCATTGTTTGACTGTAGAAACTAAAATTATGAAAATTTACATATACATCTATATGTCAACGTTACAATTGTTTAAAGAAAAGACACACGAATTTAAGGAAATGATTCATCCACTTATTTTGCATGTTATCAAAAAAGGTTAAAAAAATTTGATAAGGATTCGAATTTGCAACTTTGCCTTACTATCATACATGTCCTTATCACTAGGTCATTGGAACGTTAAAACAAAAATCAGTATCGAAAAGTTTCCTGTAAAATATCATAGTAAATCGTAATAAATTAGGGAAAACAAACGAAAAAGAAAGCTCCCGAAAGATAATGAGTCTCATGTAATATTTCTTAAAGCGAAATGCAGTTTATAAAAAATGGTATTTCATAGAAGATATTTAGCAAAGTATTTATGTCAAAGACATTCATTTTATTCACTTCACTCATGTAATATATTGATTTATTACGATACTAGTACTAGGCACTTAGGCAGTATTCATTACGAAAATACTAATCTTAACTACAATAGAAAAAGCAAGAGCAGTGAAAAGGCAACTTTAAACTACCATTTAAACAACGACAATAATAATTAAAGTTCATTCGTGGAATAAATCTTAATCAGTTTATATTATATGTTGTATAAATACTATTACATTACAACAAATCACTACAATAGACTCAAAATTTACCTTGTATTTATCAAATTCTGAGGTACTTTCAATATTTTTTCCTATATAATCTATCCATTTTTGAGCAGTAACCCAAGGCAACCATTCCTCTTCATTGTTCACATACTCCAGAGTTCTCAGTGCAATAGCTAGACTTTGATATTCAGTCCTTTAATTGATTGATCATAGAACAATGCAATGTCAACCAGTTAAGCATTACAAGAATAATAGTAAATAACTTTGATGAAACAGACACTGACATACATTCTCATATCGGGCTTCAATTTTGTAAGATAAGTACAATGCATTTTACTCGCGTCGTGCATATTCAGACATTTTTGCGAAACTTAGATTTTCTCGTATACCAATTGTTATTGTATCAAGCTTGATTATTTACACGTGATAGAAGGTCTACGGACATGGTTCAGCGCACAAAGCTAATATTAAACACATCAATTTTAAATATCTATAACTTGATTACATCTATTTTTAATTATGAATTAAGAAAGGTAATATCAAATGTGGTATTTTGCAAGTACCGGGATAATTCGCAACAAAATTGAACAGTACGTTTAAATCACTTTGAACGTATTTTTCAATAAAAGTAACTGTGGTTCTGTGAATTTCGCTCAGTCAAATGTAAATGTTTGATAATCTATGAAACTGTTATTTTTATCGATTTTTTAAATTTTAGTGACTTTTACGGTGACATTTATAATTATAAGTATATCTTTACTGTCCAATAATTAAAAGACATACGCGTATAGGGAGAATGCATCATCGATAATCTGAGCCCTGTTGATAGCATGTATAACCTGAAATAAACAATACATTTCTTAAAAGAAAAGCAGAATCGTTGATACATTATACATTATGTAGAAACTGGCATATTTACTTTTAAATAAGTAAATAAGGTTTAATTAATAAGTCCAGTAAATTATCTGTTTATAAACAAATTTTTTCACAGACTAGATTGGTATGTATTCATTAGTAAACATTAGACCAATTTTATTCTTTGAATGCTATTAATGAACACTAATCTAGCACTGTATGGAACTAAAATTGATTGAATTCGACTCAGAAAATAACAACGCTATAAATAGAACAATTTGATTTTGATGTGGTTGATTTGGCTAGGAAAATGGAAGCAATGTTAAGTAGAATACTATATGGAATTTGAACTTGGAAATGAAAACTAGGCTTTATTGGTGATATCGGATCTAATAATTATTTATTTCATATTGGATGATCACATGGTGCGAACGCTGAAGAGTACTGGCTACATTCCGTACAGTGTGATATGATATATTGTATTATCTTATCTTAGTATTGATCTGATATATATTGTATCATAATACAAAATCTAGAACAAAAATCGATTGTATAAAATACACCTTAATTAAAGTAAATCAATGTCAAGAATTGAACTATCTATCTGATTCAAACCTGCGATATACATGCCATTTTATGTCAGCAGTCTTTGTTAGGGCCGCAAGATGACATTAATATTATTAAATTTTAACTGATACATTTAAAGCATGCATTGTTACAACAGATATAGCTAAATAATTTACTTGATGGTCCGAAACAAGTTGATCTGTCAACGCATTCCAATTCCTTTTATCGTATTTCACACGGTACAAACCAAATTGCTGTGGATTTGCTATAACCCATTTTAGATTACCTTTTGGCTTCGGAATGGAATCATCCGTGATTGTCACTGAAATATTGTAAGTAATATTGCTTTGTTTCATTTGTTTTTGTATTAACACTGTATACATATAAACTTTAGGTTAGACGTAGGCCATTATAGTTTTCAACTCACTAGTTACGGTCGTTTTTTTTAGGTACATTTGGAATAGTATGTAAAATATTTCCGGCGTCTGTGTTTGAAACTTGAAAAGTCTGTAAAATGTCGAAAGAGGAAAACGCAAAATATCACAGCTTATGACCATTACAAAGATGTTTGTGATTTCAGAAATATTTTTATTGATTTTACTGAATAGTACCTAGAAACGTCATGTGTCTTTCATCGTGAATTCGTTTAAACTAAACTCATCATCACTTATATTTCTATAGAATATATTGATAGACCTTTTTTATTCCATAATGCAAAAAAACTCTGTAAACAAACATTTCAGCATATCACATACACGTTACCATTATGGTAAATTATTGTTGCTTAATGTAAATAATATACAACTTTACGAAGGTAGCGGTATTCGGCGTTGTTATTCTTTCATAAAGATAAGACAAAGGTGGATGTGGTCTATTGATAACAATAATGTGGCCAACAAATCATGCATTTACCTTTCTTTTTGCCTAAAGGCAGTATCGTAATATCCTTGCTTTTGACATTAAAGTTTTTCTCCTTACTTGTGGTATATGCGAATGGAATATTCCACTTGTATCTAAAAAGAAATTGTAAATTACCAAAGCCTCAAGATAAAAATATTTAGCAAATACAAACATGCTTAAAACAAATCAAAAGGCATATAGCTCCATATTGTTTCAAATATGAAGCAATACATTTGATGGGTTCTCTTACAGTACAAACATATGGTCATATCAACAATAGGGTTTTATAAAGATGTCCACAGTGTGCAGTTTATTAACAAAAATTAAAATATTTTCCCATTCTTTAGCTTCCTTTCAGTAACATGTTGGATATTTTTCCGGTGATACTGTGTGACCACGGTCGAAAATTAATTTCCGAAATAAAATCAAAACTTAGCTATATACTATGCTCACCTTTGAAGAAATTTATTAAAACCTATGAAATTCTTACTGAATATGCCTCTAATTTGAATAAGAAATGAATAAAATTTGCATTGGTAGTCACGTTCTCTATTATAGGAAAAGTAAAGTGAGTCTCTTCCTAAAAAAAACTGCCAGTTTTTTTTAACGACACTAAATATTTATATTGTAACGACCTATAGTGTGTAGTTTAAAACATAATATATCAACTTTGTGTGAAGTCAAAACATGTTTATTTCATATTTACAAAGCGACTGTGTAGCAACTATCAATATTTTCTGATATCAAATTTGAGCATTGCATATCTTTAAGAAAAAACGCCTATTTCAAAATTCTTATTACTAAATGTATCATATAGATCGCAAACAAAGCACGTAAATCTATGCGCTTGAAACGGTTGCATTGTTTTGTACAAAGTAGTTCCCAATCTAAATAGCTGTTCCTTTAAGAAATTGAGTGAGACTCAAAAAAGGATTGGAGCACCACACTAAATACCATATTCTGGTACATACCGGACAAGACGCTTGAATGATTAAATGCTGAAATATCGCCTTTTCACCTTACGGAATGAACTTTAAAACGTCTAATTCATCTTTTCACACCGATTTATATACGATCATGAATGAAAACTGTACGAATCGGCGAAAAAAAAAAACGATATTTGTTTATTTTGTGAACATGATTTCTGCAAGCGTGTAAAGGTACTGCTCCAATCCTGTATTGAGCTAAATCCTTAAGAATATTTGGCTTTGAAATACCCGTAAGGTGATACAAAATCCCCAGGATCCTCTCCCCCAGGATTCCCGTTGTATCTTTCCTGTGTCAGTGTTATCTTCCTTGTACTGTAAATTCAACATTGACCAAAGGATAAGTCATCTGTAGAACCCACGTGTCCATTATTTCTTTTATGTTTGTTATACTCCTTCCGTCAGCTTTAGCTTGCTATTGTAAAATAGGGAAAAAGAAAATGTGCATTCTTTAAAAATAAATCTGAAATTAAATCATAGCAAAACCTGTTTTTACATATATTTTCCATAAAAGAATATCAATTCGGAAGTTGTTTATAAAGTCATTCATCCACTGTTACTTCCAGTAAACAAAAATTGCGTTAATTAAAAAATTTTGTATGTCTGAAACTATTAGAAATGCACAAAATAATATAAGGAATCAGAATCAGCAGACAAATGACGCTTTAAAGACAACAATTGAAGAAAACATTAACTAGCAACAGCAAGGTGATCACAATAACAAGCACCGCTATCGTAACAGTGAGAAAAAAGGAAAAGAATCGTTGTTGCAAAATATGACCATATATTTATATATAACCAGTGAAGGTGTAAAGGTTTTATCAGACTTGGTGGAAATAAAAGCGCTTGTTATTTAAGTTGATCATTTTATTGTACAATTGTTTGTGCCTGGAGTCCGTTGATTTTTCGTCTTGTTTTTTATTGTGAATTTTTATTATGGGTTGCTTCAGGTTCATTGATTTTCTATCTTGACCATTCGGCAGTGATTGGGACTGTTTTTATTTCACTCTTCACGCTTGTCTATTTATTTTGTGCTGTTATATACACAAATAACAGAAGATAGATCGTTGCAGATGTAATAAAAAAAACTCTATAAAATAAAAACAGACCATATCACAACAGACATCGCTTGTGTATGGAATCAAGAAAAAAAAATGTTATTTAATAATAAGTATTTAATAACATATTCTTTTTTACAATATTTTTTTCTTCAAAACGAAAGTAAGGCTTTTAACAAACATCGTCGATTTGTAAAATGAATGCAGACCACCTCCAAATAAATAACACTGGTTCCTAAACAATTATTGAACGTTTGTAAGGATGTTTGAGGGAAAACTCTTCTAAAAAAAAGTTACTCCATCCTGGTGAATTTCCCTAATAGTAAAAAAATAACGATTCAAACTAATGAAAGTGACATATAAGTTAATAAATCTCTCAGATGATGTGATTAAGTTATAAACCAGGATCCAAGATCAAAGACAAGGTGATCTTGCAAGGAGGTTCAAGAGATGAGAAGTGGACCACCTGTGACACTAGTGTGTAATCAAATAGACTTTTTGAAAAAAAATAAAACTCAAAATAAAGTTGCCTAAAAGTAACATTCTGAAATACACAATGATCATACATTCTTGATATTACTGAATACCTTTATAGTTAGGCAAATCATTTTAACAGACTTAAATGCGTCTATAAGAACTTAGGATTTTATTCCTGTCCTTTGTCATCTCACTTGTTTAATATTTTTTTTTTTTTTTTTTTTTTTTTCATAGAACAGAACAGAACATAAGTTTATTAATAAATCGTATGCGAACAGCATATTGATTAAACAATAATATTTTACATGCATAGCATAAAAGTATGTAATGAGAGCATATACAATAATGATCAATGTATCAAAGATAAATACAAACAGTCTACATATTTTCGATAGATTTGAGATATTCGGCTTTGCTATTTTTGACTATTCATATTTACAATTATGATTAACGAAAATGTCAAAACTTGGTAATTGTTATTTCATATGACACAGTATTTAAGTTAAGTATTTTTAATTAATATTTGTATTTAAGAGAGTCTTTCTTTCTTCAAATGCTTTGATTAGATATTTTTGCCAGTCCTGTATAAAATTTGCACATCACTGGATGATAATAAATCAATGAATTTAATCAATATTTGGGCCTTGTTCTGTACCAATGTGGTATATACTGTCTTCTAATGTTATTATACACCGGACATTCTAATATGAAGTGGAATTCATCTTCTATTGTTCGTTGAAGACATAATTTACACAGACGCTCGTTCCTAGGAATTTCCTATGCCTACCTTGTTTCAATTTTCAAGGCAATGAGAGGACAAAACCGTATTTTTTTATTACATTTCTATATTTCTTATTTTCCCATCAATGTTAAAATAATCTGCCATTCCAAAAGTTTTGTTTAAATACTATTAAATAGATGATAATTGGGCTACCGCGTCACACCTCTCCCATTCACTAACATATATGTCATAACATCTTCGTTATTAATATTGGTATAAAACGCGTTAATATCTACCGAACCGTGGATATAGCCATACACTCCCCAAAAGCCACATACAATCAATAGATTTCTTCACTTTTGAGGCCCAGTTTTAGCAAAGTCCATTTTCAGACTGTTTTTAACATAGATTCGTAACACATTCCATATTATACAGTTCCGTTGTCCTTTGTGTAAAAGTTTACAACCAAAATTTAACAATTCGAACTTTTCTGTTAAGAACTAGTGGATGTCTACCCGTTTCACCGTATATGCCATGGCTACTTGTCGATAGTTTCACATTTAGGACTCGCTTAATGAATTTTCGGTGTACACGTTCTATTACTTCTGCGATGAAAAACCCCATATATCAGCACTATAACAAAGAATAGAAGTAACATATGCGTCGAATAGGTTGAATTTTATCTTAACTGGCATTTCTATGTCTTTAGTTACCGATAGTAAATTGTTCATGGATTTTATAGCCTTTGATGCAAGGGCATCAATGCCCCGTTTCGCCGAACCATTACTGCTTAGTAACGTAGCCCAGATAGTTGAAAGATTCGACGATATCTATCCCGTTGCCGTTATATGTCCATGTTTCGTTATCTCTCACACGCCCGTTACCTTTTTTGAATACTATAATTTTTGTTTTCGTTACATTGACGGTTAATCTCCATTTTACACAAAGTTATATAGCAAATCGAGATGTGATTGCATTCCTTCCGGGGTTTCGCTCAATAGTATGCAGTCATCCGCATAGAGCAGAAGGTAAATGTTAATTGGTCAAGAGTTAATCCAGACTGTGTATTTTTCTTGTATGGTCATTTCAATATCATTAGGAAAGAGCGAGAATAATATGCTTGACGTTTATTTCTCCTTGAAATACGCCTATATCACAACTGAAGAAGTCGGATACTTTGTCTATTTGTTTCACACAAGATTTTACATTTGCGTACATTGATCGTTAGAACTTTAAAAGTTTGCCGTCGATTCCATGTTTTATTAGCTTATACCATAATGCCACTTCTAGAAACAGAGTCAAATGCCTTTTGATAGTCGATGAAACAGCGTATAGACGTTTCCCTTGACTTAAGTCTCTGTCAATTAATGACTGTAATACAAAATATCGCATCTGTAGTTCCATAATTAGGTTTAAATCCGAATTGTGCGTCAGTTATTGTTTCTGAATATCTGTCCAATTTTTAAGACGCGTATTTATCACTGAAGTGAATTAATTTTCCCAAACAACTAATGGTGTGATCCCGCGATAATTGTTTGGGTCATCTCAACCAGGTTGTTTCTTTAAAAGAGTATAATAATGCCATTTGACCAAGTTGTAGGAAATTGTCCCGATTCAAATATAATGTTAAATAACGTAGTTAATGGGCTTATTAATAGATCACATGTTTCAATCAAAATATTCATTTATAATGGAATCATCTCCAGGTTGATTTATTTCTGTTTAATGTTTTTACATGCTTTTAACACTTCATCTGACGTAATAGGGAAATCGAGTTCCTCATATGTACTGTTTCCGTCATGTTCATCAAAATCACGTAAAAAAGTCTTCGATATCATCATCCGGGGTATTAATGGTCCTGCGCTAATGTTTTAAAGTGCTCACACAATTGCTCGTTTGAAATCTCATTGACAGAATTATTTTTATTAGTCTTAAACATTTTCCAGAATTCGCGGGGGCTTTTCCTTCTCATTGTGTTTCATTTCCACGACACCGATCACGATTGAATGTTTTCTTTGCACGATTTACACATGTTTTTATATTCGCGTTTAAGCTGATGCAGTCTATTAAATGATTCCGTATTTCTATGTGTCAGATATTGTCCCAAATGCTGTCTTGTATATACGTTGCTTTTCTATACATTCTTCGTTAAAACCATTTTTTCCTGTCATTGCTTCTATCAAGGAATGTGTTATTTGTCCCAATTAACATTTTTTTTAAAGTTATTTCCCCTTTTATCTAATTACTTTGCAAAAGTTTGTTTTTATCTTTTATTGATTTTTTCACCGCCCATCTACAGACTTTTTAAAATTCCCCATTCACTGAATTATCTTTTCCCGAAAAGCAGTTTTTTTTCCCTTTCATTCCCCCTATAATTATTTTTTCCGTTTTTTTTTTCCCCCTTTTTTAAAAAACCTTTAATTTTTAATCGAAATGACAGGGTTTTGGGGGTTTTGGAAAATTCTGTTTAATCTTTAATTCATAAAGTTTTTAAAACTTAAAATTTGAAGTTTTTAAAGTAAACCCATTTAATCAATCCACAACCTTTCACCATTGTGCGTTCATACACGTTATAACATGTAGATTTTATATGGTGAACAAATGTTTTTGATTTACTTGTGAATTCGTATGGGAATTACCCTTATTGATTTTCTTAAATTAATACAAATATGTGTATGCTTAATGGTAGGAATTTTAATTAAAAATGACTTTACGTCAGTATCTAGTAAAGGCTGTGCCGTCGTAGATATTGTTTTGGTACCTTATGAGTGTTTGAACAATTTTAAAAGACTTTTTTAGAGCGGACAATGAATGTTATTGACCAAATTGGGCAATATTGCATCACTAGCTCCATGTTGTATTCCACGATCATTCTATTCTTTCGTGGACTATTGTTTGTAATTTTTCAATTTGGTAATCGAGAAAAATGATTGTTTTAACAGTCCCTTTATAAAGTTGATGTTTCGAATGTGCCAAATACATTTTTAATTGATCCGGACACTGTTCCAATGTTAATATTGTATCAACAAGTTAGAAGCAAGGGATGAGGTCACAACAAGATATCGATTCTATATATAGTGATTGGTACTATTATTAAAGAAAATATGTACAATATATTACCTTTTAAAAAAAAAATAATTTTCGCACAAAAGTAATAAAAAGCGTCGGCCAGGTAAAGCTTGGTGGTCAGAAAAGACTTACTGTTTTATGGACAAGAATGTCTACAGATGAAAAAAATTGGCTGAAATGTACGCATAGATCTGAAAAATACGTTTAAAGTCTATTTACTGTTTACTAGTCGTAAGCTTTTTGATAGAAAGAAGTTCAAAAAAAGCTAAACGTTTTTTATTGGTATTCACTGCAGAATGACCTGTTGAATGATTGTAAGGTAGATAGCACTTCATTTTGAAATCTATTGGTAAAAATCGGTGTAGGTTTTTCAAAAAAAACCAAAACCAATTCCAATGGAAGTTTATTTTACCAAATGGAAAACATCTACTATGTTGACGATGTGTTTTTTTTAAATTTTGGAACACGACTTTATTTCATTTTAAAAAATGTGAATTTTCAATACCCCATTTAACGTTCCAATATCTAAGGACATGAAAACAATCTTATATTTAATGATAAATCTTATATTTGAAGTTAAAAAAGCTTTTGAAAGTGCAAAATCTCGGTAAAGCTTGGGACCCCAAAATTTTCCGTAAGGTTTAAAAATACACATCATTATTTTTTTTCATTTTTTTTAATGGTTTTTTAATACGGGGTTTTTCCTCCCTCAGGGGGTAAACTTTTATAAACCCCCTTCCCAAAATCCCCACACCCCGGAGCCCCACTTTATATAGAGGTTTGCCTTTATCATCAGCCATGTCCCAAACTTTACTGTTCTATTTTTTACAGTCGTCTTAGTTCGTGGGTAAAAAACAAAAAATTTACATGACAACAAATGCTTTAGAAGAAAACTAGACACTTAACATTTCATCTTTTTCTAGTATGTTAAAAAAATCAAACAAAATTCACTTTTACACTTTATAGATTTCAAAAAAGTTTACGATTTTATCAATAGAGACATGCTGGATGCGTCTTAAAGAGTCGGATCTCGTAAAATCCCCAGCTAAAAGCTCTTATATTCTTTTGTTTCTCATCTACGAGAAAAACCCCATAAACATGCTGGTCGGGTTCGAACCGTCTCCTCAGGGGTTTTATTCTTTCGCCCCTTCTTTTTTCTTATACATCAATGATTATTAATATTTTAAAAACTTCAATGTAGAATTTTTTAAGGTGAAAAAAAATTTTTATTTTTTTACTGACGACATTGTGTTTCTGCGAAACTCAAATTTTACAGTGTCTGTTAAATGCTCTTAATGACTTGGTGCTCTGTAAATGATATGACTATTAATTGTGAAAAAAGCAAAGTTGTACATTTTAACATGTCGCAATTACTAGATGTAATACAATTTTTACTTGTGGCAACGATATATTTGAAATTTGTGGATAGATATAATATTTAAAGGTCTAATTTTAACTGAAACACTTGGACTTAATATAACTGCTAAACATGTAGCTCCAAAGTGCAGGTGAGCCCCTAGTCTTGTTATCCCGAAATGCAAAAGTATAGGAGGCGTTCCATACGCTGTCTACACCAAACTTTATGATTCCATTGTGTGGCCCGTGATGAACTACGGGTGCCAAGCGTTTGGGTGACCGTCTTTCTCATTGTGTTAATGCCGTCCATAATAAAGCCTTGAGGTTCTTTTTGCGGTGTTGGTAAATATACACCTAACGCGGCACTTGCAGTGAGAATGGCCTGGCAACCACAGTTGTTCGCCAATGGAAATCTATTTTACGTTTTGGGCTCGTTTAAGTAATAAACAAACTCGTCAGAACTGAATAAGAGAATTGCTCTTTGGGCTCATGGTAAAGCAAAACAATAATTGTAAAACTTGGTATTTTCGTGTTAAAGTCGAAATTGTTTGAATGTAGACTCAGCCATTTTTTCTGAAACATTTCTAACTATGTATCAAAACATGCTATTGTTGATAGTGCTATATGTTTTTTGATGGATAAATATGTATGTGACTGAAACAGCTTATCAATAGATCTGTAGGTAGTTCAGGTAGAGGAAAAATAAACTAAGAACATATTGTACTTTAAGAAAGATTATAGTGTGAGAATTATTGCCACCATGATTATGCCACCTTTACACAGATTCTGCCTTCTGTAAATTGCGCGTGGGGTTGCTCCCATTAGATTAGAAACTGGAAAGATATGAAACTTAAGTGAACAAAATCGTACTTGTCCATTTTGTGTTAATAACGTTGAATCAGAATCGCATGTATCTTACAGTGCTCACTTTATGATGATTACAGACGAAACTTATTTCATAAGGCGGCAGCCGTCGATCCAGAATTTTATAACAAGTCAGATAATGATAAACTTGTGTTTCTTTTTACAAATACCTCCTTAATTAGAATATGTGCCAAAACCTGTTTCGATATTCTTAATAGACGTAAATCTTATCTTTGTAAATAATATTATGTAGATTATTATTATAATATCTTATTTTATTTTTATTTTTTTTTTTAATGACATAAAGTGCTCCTCTTTAACTACAAAGTCGTACTGTTTTATTCTTAACTATTCTAACATAGTCTTTACATAGAGCATATATATATTTATGTGTTTTTACATTTGTAGTCTCCTGTAATTCTTTATAGAATGGTTATATACATGTTCTTAAGATATATTTAATGTTGTTTATATTGTACCATGTATATAGATGAGACTTTAATAAATAAATAAATATATAACTGCCCTTATTCGCCCGGCATACCTGATCGTCCGTTAACAATACACATATTTCACTGCTTTACAAAGTTCAATCAATAAATCACCAAAATCGATTACTATTTAAATCCATTGATTGTCGTATTGGCGGTACATCGTTTAAGGTATTGTTCATGTCTAAATCCGTTAAGCGCTCATCCTTGATAAAATCACACTTTACCCCCACGCGACTATTCATGTCGCCTAATAGTAACGTCCGTCCCGTACTGTTGAAAAAAGTTGTAATATCTTGTTCTAAAATACTAAATATGTCACTTTCATAAAAGTCATGTACGGGTGAATTTTCCGGGGCAACATATGTGCAACAAATATACCAGTCTGTATCTGTTTGAAAGAATATTTTATCAAGTTTTAACCATATTACACCGTCAATATCGTTTTTCACTAATTTGACACCTTTCTTTATAAAATCTTTAATATACACTATAATCCCACCGCTTGCTCTTTTTGCACGTCTATTCTGGAAACGTCTGTATGAGTGAAAGTTACTATATCCTTTTAAGTCTATCTTTGATGATTTAGAAGTCCATGTCTCTGATAAACATATTATATCGTATTGTGTGAGAATATTTGTAAACTCGTCGTTTGAACGCTTGTTTTTGGTTAATCCCTCGACATTCCACGTTAAAATATGTATAACACTCTCGGCGCTTTCCTAGTCCGTTTGTGGCGGTATGTACAAATTGCCATCAATGAATATTATATCGTATTACTTTCCTTTTAACCTGAGCATTTCAATACAATCTGCAGTGTACAATCTTCCCTCAATAACATCTATATACATTTATTTTCACCTCAACGCACCATTATCAACTTTCTTTCATATTTTTCTTTCATTACCTTAACTCTTCAATACTATTTCTATTTATTTATTTTTTATCTCCTTACCGTTTCAATTTCATCTCTATCTTTATCTATTTTTATTATCATAACACTTCAATACTAATTGTATGCATTACCTCTTCCATAACAGAATAAAGATCATCATTAGTCACTGCTTTGTAACTGTTGTCTTTTATATATCTCTAAAATTCAAAATAAAGATGTATATAATCGAAAACGACACTTTTTAATCTACTTACTAGTATTTCAAGTATAAACTAAATAAAAACTTTGCTTTATATGTTTCCAAAATATTTTTCATAAAGCTTAAATCTTGTACATTTTTATTTTGAATAAGTTTTAATTGTTGGCGCACATTACAACATTTTGGAATTTCTTCTCCACATTGGATGCAAAAGATGATACACAGCTTAATTTTATGAAAACGTAAGCATTTCCTTTTCTTATTTGTATTTTTCTCAATTAAGTAATTAAAAAGTATGGACGTACTTTCATTCCGTTTTGAAATGTGTTTTGACCAACCATGAAACTCAACATACGTATTACTGCTGCACCCTTAAAAATAAATAAAAAATCGGATATATTTATTCAAATAATGATATGAATTTTGTAGATAAAAGCATGATAAAATCACCAGGTTTGGTATCGCAAAATAACAAAGTGTAAAAACAACAACTTCAAGAATAAAATAGCAACCAAATATTACCACTACAAAAGTGACACAAAATGCCTATCTTTTAAATTATTCGATATTGTATTGTCATAACCAAATATGTGAGTAAATTGTAAAAGGTCAATTAAAACACCATGCAGACAAACATACCTTATTATACGGAATTAAACCAAATATATTTTTGTTTATGTCCTTTGGTTTGTACACAGGATTGTGAAGAGGATGTGTCCATCTTGGGTTTCCATCAACAAGTAAAACACTATGTAGTATATCTTTGATGAACTTGTCCCACTTAAAAAGAAGAAAAAATAAAGAGTTGTGACTATTGGACCAAACTGATGCACTAATGAGTTCTCCGCTGCTTTCAATAATAAACTTTATTGTATATCAAGTGCTTGCTACTGAATATGAGCCGCGTCACGACAAAACCAACATAATGGGTTTGCGACCAGCATGGATCCAGACCAGCCTGCGCATCCGCGCAGTCTGATCAGGATCCATGCTGTTCGCTTACAGACCCTATAACAAGTAAAGAAACTGATAGCGAACTGCATGGATCCTGATCAGACTGCGCGGAGGCGCAGGCTGGTCTGGATCCATGCTGGTCGCAAACCCAATATGTTGGTTTTGTCGTGACACGGCTCAATTATTAGTTAATATAGTCAATTGTATAAGATATTTATCAATGTATATTTTATGGAGAACGCCTCAGTTGCCGGTGATATATGTGTTATGGATATGATAAACAGCAATTTCAAGTTTATGATTAATGTGTTCGAAGTAAAAATTTCTTTATAATGACATGAAACCTGTATCTTTTTCTGTAACGTACATATGTTAGCACATGTATCATGTAATTGTGGTAAAATAATAATTGTGTAAAATAAAGTTGATCCACATATAAATTGAAAATTAATTACCATGTTCCAGTCTGGATGGGCAAAATCTACGCCAGTATATTGGTAAAATCTTGCAAATCCTTCATTCAACCAAATATCATCCCACCAGTGAGTCGTCACTAAATTACCAACCCACTGTAATAATAAATTAAATCATATTTCTCATGGAGTGTAACATAAAAAATATTTTTTGCATAAGTAAAGTACGACTAAAGAATTGAACAAAAACAGCTTTGCACATCACTTAAGTTAATAGCTACCTTATTTCAGTTTAGAATGCTGATCAGGTCGATTTAGCAAGTGACCAGCTTAGCAATTTAAAGAAATGAGCCGCGTCACGACAAAACCAACATAATGGGTTTGCGACCAGCATGGATCCAGACCAGCCTGCGCATCCGCGCAGTCTGATCAGGATCCATGCTGTTCGCTATCAGTTTCTTTACTTGTAATAGAGTTTGTAAGCGAACAGCATGGATCCTGATCAGACTGCGCGGATGCGCAGGCTGGTCTGGATCCATGCTGGTCGCAAACCCACTATGTTGGTTTTGTCATGACACGGCTCAAATGATGTATTGATTTAACACATTTAGTAATATCTTATTGAGGAATCTATCCAGCTAGCTTTCAGAACGTCAGTGGTTCTACTCAGGGGCCCGTTCGTGCCTGAAATAATGCACGGAAGGGTACCTGAGGTCTTCTTCCACCAGTAAAGCTGGAACGTCGCGATATGACCTATACTGTGTCGATGAGACGTAAAACCCAAAACAAAAAAAAAACAACAAAAAATCTTATTGTATATACCAATAGAAAAAAATATTTACCGTATGGGCAACCTCGTGCGACACAATGCTTGCTGCTGTTTCTATTGACTTGAGGGAATCCTTGTCCAGGTCTACTAGCATCAAATTGTCAGCATAAACTATCAATCCCCAATTCTCCATTCCACCCGATTGGTAGTTTGATATCGCAATATTGTCTACAGTTGTTATAATTTATTATCATACATTGTAACACAATCTTTATCAATTACATATATATTTCAACGTTAAATGCATACATGAGTATAATTTCCAAAATAATTATTACTGAACACCGACGAAAAAGCGTTTGGGAGCTTCGTATTTCAAGACTGCAAGATTGTCGTCCATAAAACCATTGTTACGAAATACATGGAGGTTTGTTACCTTCAACAGCCAAACAATCCCAAGAAACGATTTGAATTTGAAGTATATTTTTTAGTATTTATTTTATGCGATTTTATATCAACATATTAAAACAATTCAGCCGCGCCATGACAAAACCAACATAATGGGTTTGCGACCAGCTTGGATCCAGACCAGCCTGCGTATGGATCTGCGCAGTCTGATCAGGATCCATGCTTTTCGCTATCAGTTTCTCTACTTGTAATACGGTAACTTGCACTTTCCAGTACCGTCCATGAACAGGCTCAATCAAACTGAGCCTGCAACATTTTCAATTTTGCCGTTTTGGGCTTTCTTTAGGGATTCTGTATTTATCTATTGTAAGCGAACAGCATGGATCCTGATCAGACTGCGCGCATTCGCAGGCTGGTCTGGATCCATGCTGGTCGCAAACACATTATGTTGGTTTTGTCGTGACGAGGCTCAATTTAAGTATGTTCAGCTAATGCTGCAAGAAATGACAGCTAAGTCAGCATTAATCGTTGATATTTTCGAAATCTTTACCTTGCTTTGGTAATGGGTAGGATACTGCGAAGTAATCTGCGAAGAACTCTTGCATCTTTACACCAACATCTAGAGCGTAAGTTGTTTTATTGATAGCACTAGGTTTTGACCATGTGCGAAACTAAGACAAATAATAGAAAAAAAAATGAAATACGCAAACAATACTAAGTAATATTCGCAAGTAAGAAAACATAAAGCATAGACGATTTCTTCTTAATCAGAGATGTATCGTTCCAATGACTCCCAATGAAACAAAATAAAAATAAAAACATTTTTAGTAAACGGCTATATAAATAATCAAACGACAAAGAAATGATTTCCTTTGTAAATTGTAACACACATTAACTTCAGATTATGCAAACAGCTATAAAATTTGATTAAACGACAAAGTTGCAAGTAATTTATTTATTTTATTTTATTTTATTTTTGAGAATGCGCACCAAAGATTAAATGCATCTTTAAATCTAAACAATTAACAACTTTTTTTACAAATTATGGTAGAACGCTACACTTTACAAACAAGTAGCGTCTTGCAAAGTTGCATGTGAAACGTTGACCATGTTCCAGATTTGATTGCGTTTATTTTATTCCAATAGTTTAAGCCATTTTTTGTACCCATGGCGTCAAAGTTGACCACCAAAGCCTGTTTTAGAACACGACGTCGTCTCGTATCCTTGGTAAATTTTACGAGTATCACAATTTTATCGGCAGACAAAATATCTTAAATTCAAAAGTACTCAACGGAAAATATTTTCCTTTATACTGAAAATAAATTTATCGTTTTACGCCGGAAAATGTTTGAAAGTTTGAAAGAAAATTGGCATTTTTTAGTAATATTTGAATTCAGTTTAGCTACAATTTCAGCTTTGAAGCTGCTTATTTAACAATTCTAGCAATTTTTTTTTTCATTAACTTTCCTTTGAAATGTATCCTCAATTTAAGTATGGCGTTGTGATATTCGTAACATTTGCCAACGAAAAGCAACGACGTCATGTTCTAAAACGGGCTTTGGTGGTCAAATTTGACGTCATGTATACAAAAAATGTCTTGAAATATTTAAAATCAATGGAATCTTAATTAAAATAAGGTCAACTTTTAACATGCCAATTTTGAAGATGCTACTCGAAAGTTTGCAAGATGTTGCGTTCTACCTTAAAAATGTCAATATATATTAAGATGTAAGTAAATTTGATTTGTTTCATCAATATTTTGTTAGTTCCATTTTATTTTTTCTTGTGCTTCATTTGCTTTTTTAAGAAATAAAGAAAAGAGAAATAAAATTGAGTATTTTCTTACTATGACTCCATTTGCAGTCGTCTTTTCCAGATGCTCATGGTTACCAACAAAGAAAGCTAAAAGGTACACAGACATCTTTGGCGTTCTCTCAAATGTATCTGCTATCCAACCATTGGCTCTAAAATATTATTTTAAAAGCAAATTTAGCTTTCATAATAAATAGTTAAGTACAATAAGAATCGAAATCTGTCAATCTTCATTTTTTATTCATCAAGTTAAAAATGGATTGTTTTTATGTTGGCAGGCAGATCGCATGAAAATACGAAATATCACTTGGTTTGTCATTGCTTCCGAGGGAGGGACCACCTCAAATTTTGATATGTCATTATCTGGTTATATCACTGTTTTTCCTTTAAAAAGCCAAAGTTCTTATGATTAAAAATGCAGGCTCAAATTTGCATATTCAAAATAAATAGGGTGAGGACTTAACGCAATGGAAATTTTAAATGGTCAAAATACAATGTGTAATAAAGCAAAAAATGTTCGATTTTCAGTAACAGCACTTATTAAAGACTTGCTATTAAGACTTACTAAATGAAAGTAATATGGACGATAATGCACTTTCAATATGCAGTCCGTTAAATAATAAATTGGGTATTTTACACTCAATTTATCATGTTTACTATACATGAACATGTACCTTGCTGTATACGATAAATGCTTTTGAAATTTCCTCATAAAAAGCTATAAAAGATATGGAAAAAACACATCGTAATCACCTATTAGTCGAATTAGAAAGTGGCATATTGGATAACGATGACACAGATTTCTTCCTAACAAGAGTAATGTCGTATCGGGATTTAATCGCTGGTTCATCGAAGCATGGAAACGCTTTCCTTGCGGATATCGGTTGAAACTGGGTTGCGGCAAAATACCTGTGATCAAAATAAAAACAAAAAGATAAATCTTTAAACCAGCGAAACTGTTTTTTCAACCTTTCAATTATAGTCAAGCAAAATATAGTGAAGCAAACTAAATATTCCTGCATTAGGAGCATTCAAATTTTAAAATAATAACTTTGCATCACAGTAATATGTAAAGGAAGAATTATTTTGTATTCAAGAATGCATTTTTTAGAACTATGTTTGCTCATAAAATCAAAAGGTTGTATACTAACACTTTGTTACCATCTTCTTCATCATAAGCATAAAAGAATCCATCACTGGTGGCTCCTAAAAATCCATCAAATTTGTTTATGCTGAGCACATACTTTCCACCCGCCTTAAGATATTGGTTTGTCAAGATGTATAAAAACTGTAGCTCTTTCTCAATCACATGTTTCTGGTACAAATTCTCAGAGCTGCCCTCGAGATTCACAACGATAGGTCCTGAATATAGAGTTAATAACTTGACACAAAATTTGAAATATAAGATAATTCTTCTTCAACAGTTTAACCATTTTGTACGTGTATATCAATTTAAGCAATCAGAAACCTCTACAAACTAGTAACGTTCGATTGTTTGCCACATTATGCTTTCAGCAGTGTTAAATTAATTTCCTTTAATGTGCACATATTTGAAATGTGATCCATCTTGTGTAAAAATGTATATCAGCCAGAGGAATAAATAGTTTTAAGTAAATACAAAACATTTTTCGAAAATACTTAATGATAATGTCAACAAAACACATTAACCTTGCAAATGGAGAGTGTTAAATACGCTTCTCGAAATGACGAATTGTTAGTCTTAACTCGGTATTTCATTTCCGTCGAAAATTTGACGGGGGCATTAAACTATTCATAAACCTGCTTAAACTTATTGAGCAGAGCATATATTATTTAACATATTCAACATCGCTTCAAATCGACACAGATGGAGCCTTAGCGCAGGGGTTTCAACAATCGGTATTACTAGCGGTCTATATTATACAGTCATTTGTATTGTAACTAAATGCAAATGTTTTAGTATCATAAAACAACACGACGAGTACTTACCCTCTATTGAAAGCCTATTTATATTTAAAGTAATGATACTAGTGTCGCTCAAACAATTCAATTTTATCGTCACAGATCCAGTAAAAGAAAACTCTTCAGGTTCAACATTATTGTAGATGTCAGGTTTTAATTCGATAGCATACAGTAATGGGTCAAAGTCCAGTGGTAGGCGAACTACGTAATCCTCTGACTCTGGAATGGAAATAGTTCAATGTGGAAGTTTTCATCATTATTACAGTTGTATCTAAAACACTACATTCCAAAAACAGTTTTCCTCTTTTTTGCGAAGCAACATTGATAATGTCTTATAAAAGCTCCAAGCTTTCTCCAGAACTCCATGACCTATTTCAAGCACGAGAATATCGCTTTACAAACCACAAAAGCTCACAACATGCAGGATAGTATAAATCAAACCGAGCCTGCAACATTTTCAATTTTGCCGCGTTGAGCTTTCTTTATGGATTCTTATTTCTTTCTATTATAACACATAAACGATCATGACTTTCCTATCATCTTGTTTTCTAAGAACAATGGTTTTCAGTAAATATATCTGAGGTTAAAACTGACATGGTAGTAATTATGGCAAGTAATGTATAACAGTTGTTTCGTTGCTGAATATCGGATACCGCATGAAACGATGCCAGAGGTGTGGCATCTTTTGTTACCTCTTACGAACAGACAATAATGCCCCAATTTAACAAGCTTCAATTTCAACTACTAATGATTCACGTTTTTGTTGATTGATTTCAAAAGATTTTTCATTTTTTCGATTTTTTTTTAAATTTACTTTTAATGTACAGGTATGCATAAAGTATGTTAATCAAATAAATATCACAGATATTAGACTTAAAGCCCATAAACGTATTTGTATTTCTTTTCCTTAATATCGAAAGAATCTTGTCACTGAATATCATGAACCCTCTTTCATCGTTTTTTCGCGCTTTTCGCGATATGGACATCGGCCTTGATTCAAACAGTTATGACCTAAGATGACCCATTATAACAAAACGATTATGACGTAAGATAACCCGTTATACCAAAACGGTTTATGACGTAAGATAACCCGTTATACCAAAACGGTTTATGACGTAAGATAACCCGTTATACCTAAACGATTATGATGTAAGATGACCCGTTATACCAAAACGATTATGGTGTAAGATGGCCTGTTATACCAAAACGGTTATGATGTAAGATGGCCTGTTATACCAATACGGTTATGATCTAAGATGGCCCGTTATACCAAAACTCGACAAAAACATATTGTTTCAATGGCTATTCGGCTACACGGGCAAGAATGATTGTATTGACTTTACGAGGCTATCGGTATTCGGGATATTACCAAGCCCTCTATCCTTCAATTTGCATATAACGCCTTGAAGCCTTAAATTAATGCCGAGATATTTCCCGATTATGTTGTAAATTTATAACTGAAATATAATGTTTTTTTGTTTTACCGTTTTTGTTTGACGCAATATTTTTCACCAATATTTTTTTTACATAACTGACTTATTATATACACGTTGTCCCGTTCTTCACTCCAATGTTGTTGATGCCAGCACTATTATGTGTTCAGAATTGAGTACCGCTCAAGCCGGTGCTAGGGGGCGTGAGGGATGTTGCACTTATTCATTATCCCTCATGTACAGACTCAATCAAACCGAGTCTGCAATTCTCATATTATTTTGTTGTGATTAATGCTTGCTAGGGATCACTTTGTTTCCAGATGTTTACATTTTAAACTTTAACAATGGCGGCTTAATGAGAAGTGATCGTCGGTCTGTAAGTGATGACTCTTTGACACTATCAGATCAACATTTCAACAGACGAATTAGATAAATAAATGATAACATGTTATCATGCATTTCATACTTTAGACGAATGTTGTTCACAATTGTACTGTACCTAACTTGCTAAATAATTATACGAATTTAACTAATCATGTAATAACTCCTTACAAATGCATTTACCTATTGCTGTACATTCGGTTGTTTCCCATTTACGGGACTCTAGGCAATTAAGAACGGTTTTGTTTGAAGTGTATCCCTGGAAACAACTCACGTCAGCCCGAGCCCCAATGTCTGTACTGCTATTAGACAAAAGAACATTTGCGTTGTCAATATTCGGAGCGGTTCCACATCCTAAAATAAAATGTAATACATATATTACTTAACACAGAAATACATCATAAAATCGCGAAAAATCGATACATTATGTAACTCCCCGCTATGTTAAAGGTCTAGACAGCCTGCCGTATCAAGGTGTGGACAGCGGTCATTTTAAAAAAAAAATATCTTGTTTAATCATAATAGCATTACATACTCGTACGCACGAGCAGAAAAATGGCAAAATCCAGATTAAACGAGCTATTTACGTAATGACTATTGATATTTGCAGTTAGTAGACAGTTGTAAGAAAGTACTATATACATGTTAAAAACTTGAAGAAATCATTTGACTACCACAAGAAGCATTCTGAGCAAAATGTACTTCTACATTTTCTATGTGCGTTTTCCGCTTCAAATTCCAATTTTCACCTTGTCGTTAAATTTATTGCCCTCCTCATTTTTTTGCCCCTCTACCCCTTCCTTAAATACCTACATCCCCTTCTTACTACAAATTGTTACATTTATAATTAAACTTAAGCTCCCCTATGGTCCTGTATGTCTACTGTCATTTGGTGCCAATTTGTGTGCCGTTGGTTTTGGATATTGTTGTAAACTTTGCTCTCCTTTAATGCATTTTATTTTCATATTTTACAGATATGATTAAAATCTACACAAAATATGGTAAACAAGATCAACAAGGAAAGGCGGCGCCCAACGAACGCAACCAAAATCTGCCAATTAACTTCAGAAAAAATAATTTCGCTCGTGAAATGAAATGTCTTCAGATAAATATATAAATGAATCTATGCAGTTATATGATCTATTTGAAGTTATAAAAATATATGGAGTTATATTACATATATGAAGTTATATGAAGCAGGCAACAGTTTAAACATCGTAAGATAAAAGGCAATGACAAAAGTATACATGCGTGTACTTTGTTTCCTTCTCTTTTCTTTAAATTCATAACGCTGCTGATATAATATACACAGTTTAGATTAGAAGTTATGAAAACCAATGCCTTACACCCTGTTTACGTTTTTTTTCTTTTTTCATAGTCATTATTTTTCTATTCATTTATCTATTTTTTTACAAATAAATGGTTTTTATTCTTGCATTTCCTATTTTAAATTTGTTTTCATTAAATAATGCTTGATTAATTACCTATTACTTCGCTGTCCTTCACAACCTAGAATAGAATGTAAACACTTATGTTATATCTAAAATGTTATAACGTAACATTGCTTTTCTATAATATCAATTGTCAAAACATACCGGTAAATGGTCAGAAAACTCGCAGCATAGTTATCTTAGCATGGTTTTTAAATTGAAATGAAAGCATTGCTATATTTTATAGCCACTTAAATAGCAAACTAGAAAGACATGCTTGATAGAATAGATGTAATATATTTCAAAACGGTTCTGGTTGACAATATATCTGAGACATTTTGTAAAGAAGACAAACTATCACTTCGTTTTGGTCTTGATACTTTTATAAATTATGTCACATTCAACACTGCTTTTGTCACAAGATTAGCATATAACTTGAAATTTTAAACTTGCTTCTTTGATTTAACACACAATTCTATAAATTCCATAATGGTTATTCACAGTGCTATAAACTAATATAAAATCAACAGCAATACATTTTATAAAACAAACGATAATATCTTCAGACAGATATATGCAATATTTAACAAATAAATTGCAATCATATGAAAGTAAAAATAATTAGTTAAGTTGCTTCTTTAAAACATATAAAAACATATCTAAAGACCAAAGATTAAACACACGTTTTATAAAATAAATGTTTGCCTTTTCTTATTCAATTCTGAGACTGAGAATGCATTGAAACGGTAATATAGAGGATATTTGTTTAGTTCAGTGTAAGATCGGAATATATTTCACCGGACGAGCACCAAAAGGTATATTTCACGAGTGGTGCAGCCACGAGTGAAATATGAACTTTTGGTGTTCACAAGGTGAAATATATTTCGATCTTACACTAAACTAAACAAATTTTCTTTTTATTACATGCAAAGAAACGTTTTAAAAAGACATTAAACCTTATACTGAATGAAAAGCGCGCCAAATAATAATACAACGTGACGTCATTTACGACGTCACGTCATTAAGTTGGTACCCAGTACTATGCACGCTGGTATTTCACTGAAACAACGTAAGGGGCTTGAATTCAAAACAGTGAAATTATCAAAATGGTAATTTCACTGTTTCAAAACAGTGAAATTATCAGTGTTAATTCACTGATATATTTCTATAAACCATCGAAAAGCATGTAATAAATTCTCGTAACCGCATATTGCAAACTTATCGCACTACAGTACCCTATTATTTAATGGTTTACTTCACACAAATTCTTAAATGATCGTGAATAACACTAAATGTGAGCAAAATAAGCTTTTGTCAGGTTAAAGATTTCATACAGCGGTGGTTGAACTGTGCTCTGGTGAATACAATGTGTCTTACTGTCGTGATCCGGAGTGAAAACTACCAACACCACCACCACAGCGGAAGCAAACTTGCTGCATTTACGTAAATATATCTTAATGATAAACTCTTCAGTTTACTGATTTTATATTATACTTTATCTTTGGTTCTAAATACATTGATATTATTGATTATTATATTGTTTTGTAGCGTTCTTACTTTCTTTATAGCACTGCTGTAGTACGATAGTCTAAATCCTTTGATGTTTTTATTGCTGCACTTTTTGTTGACGAATGATGATCCCGTGAGGTACCATTTTGACTGATATTTACAGACTACCGGGGATCCATTGTCAACCTAAAACGATAAATGTTATAACTTAAATATTGAATAATATATGAGTATAAAATCGATATTATTTTAACAAAATATATTTCAAATGCAGATACATGTATAAGAAAGTACTTGTAGTATATTTGTTAAGCAGTTATTTGGTTTGTTTTGATTTCAAAACGTAACAACGATTTTTAAGGGAATATAGTAATTTTCTACCAATTCAGGATAGTTATAATGTACGAGGAGTCATCTTAGTAAAAACATCGACATTAGTAGAAAATAATCATGTTTTTGAACATTAACTCTTAATAGATTTAAATTTTCTAAATATATATTTCAAATGTTTTGAATAAATTAGAATATGTAACTGTTAACTACTAGTATATGAATATATCAACCATAAATCCATCTGCACGCATATAATATATTATCATTTCAGCTTAGTGCTTTTGTAATATATAATAGCTACAGAGAATGGCGATATTGATGGAACATATAGAACTTACTTTGAGGTAAAACTCGTATATGTTAAAAAAAACTTAGTATAGGTTAGTGTTTAATAATACGCATTAAAAAAAATAATTGGTCAAGCCTGCCACAGGCAGGCGACCAATTATTTTTGTTAATGTGTATTATTAAACATTAACCTATTTAATGATCAACATTATTTTTTTCAACCAACAACAAGACATATCTCTAAATCACCGATAGCTCCGCCCTTTCGCTCTACAAGATGTCTACATCTTGTCAAAGTTCTAACATGTCACAATTAGATAAGCTAAATAAATGGCCCAGGCACATTTTATTACTGAAATGTCACAGAATTTATACCTTTATCTACAGTAAGACTATCATGTTTCTATAAAATATCTGGAAAAAAACAGCGAGGAAAACGATGCGAAATGTGTACATCCTTTTAAAATAAATGGAAAATGTGAGAAAAATACATAAGAGATTATTCATTGATACAAATTCGTTATTAGCTTCAAATTATTCACTAACATTTAAAGTCCCTATTGATTGGCTCATTTGAAAAACAGTTCATTTTTTTCTGTGTGGAGGGGGTCCATTTTCAAAGAGTTTTCCAGCCAAAAAATGTAATCATTGTATTTTTGATATCAATGATTGTTAATGCTGTTCATTCCTATCAAGTGAAATAAAATAATGTTTTGGTTACTTTTTCTAGAAAATATAAAGTTTAAAACAGTCAGCAATTTAAAACAGTCATTTTTCTTAGAGTTCAAAGGATATAAAAAAGTTACTATATAATCATTAGTCTCTGCGTGTCCCATATGTATTATCTATGTAATAAATTAATAGATTGTATCCTCACATTTAGAAACATATGACCGCTTCTAATTTTTTACACTAACCTAGATATTTAACGACTCAGAGCTAACTCCTCCCTAATATAATGCAATTTGTTAGACTGGTAAATTTTATTTAGTTAGTACACATTAACCAAAGTTAGACTTAACAGAAATTTGAAAAATACTACAATGTGATTGGACAAAAAATAATGTCTTATAAAGGTCACCTTGTTAATTCTAACACCCTCAAATGCAACAAGAGTAATTAATGAAAGGATATGTACAAACATGGACACATATCAGCTTAAAACGCGTATGAGCAGCTTACCTTACAAACTGATCCTGTTTTCGTACCAAAACAAAGCGTCCCTTTTCCTTTGCATTTGTTCCACTTTAATGAAACAGCTACCTCACTTTGACGCTTCCCATTTTCTGGGAAACAACCAAAAACATATTGATATTATGTCATTAAATAGGTATGTATCTGTGTTTCCCACTGGGTTGAATATACCTTAATTACCTTTCAAAGACTTGAGAATGTTAAACTTGAATTGTTCACTTACCTATATTTACATTTCATTTAAGACTATTGTCCCATGCAAATACATAAATATGGAATCCCTAAAGAACATTAAAAAAGACAAAATTTAAAATATTGAAGTCAGTAATGGAAAGAAAAGCATGATTTGAACGTTTGGTCTTTCGAAATAATTTATTTAAACATTTTGTTGCAAACTTTTATTGATAATAATACAATAAATCAAACAAAATCTGTATGTTGTGTATTTCAGTTACGTAGAAGGACCGTCTCTAGAGCTATAAAAATACAAATAAACTTTTACTTAATATCATGGTACTTACCAGTAAAGCCAACTGCTTTGCAATTTGTCATTTTCTTGTCAAGTTTAGATGTACTAAAACGATCTAAAGCTGTCACTTTATCTTTACTTTCATCAACTTCCTTGTTAAGCTCCAACATTATAACATCGTTATTTTTCTTGTCTGGAACCTGAAATACAATAGCATACAATGTTATTCAGTTAAAAAGTGCTAATGATGTTTACAAGTAATGTTAAATTAAAATAAAGTACTTGACAATAGATTTATGACAAGATTTAATTAACACAATAACCGTGCCGAGTTGACCATTGTCTTATTCGCGTGTTTCAATATTTGAAAAACAATAACCGTATAAATTGAAAATGAAACAGACATTATTCTTTTGTTTTAGACTGGAACAGCTATGAAGAAGAGCCGGTTGAACTGGGTGATGCTCCCCGAGTAGGCTTTGGACACATACAAAGCTCAAAGTGTAAAAACAACCCAAATGTTGGGCTCCACACGTCTTCTCTATATGGTGATCATTTCTGTGAAATAGTTGGAAAATCCGACTTGAAATCACGAAGTTATGGGCCGGACACAATTTTGCTGCAAGGTCATGTGTGACCCTGACCTTCAATGTAGCGACCCAAAAGTTGCGCGCGACACGTTGTCTCAATATGGTGATCATTTTTGTGAAAAGTAAAATCCGATTTCAAATAACCAAGTTATGGTCCGGACACGAATTCGGGACATACGTACGGACAGACGGACGGATAACCCGGCGACTATATGCTCCCCCGAAATTTTTCGGGGAGCATAATAATACAAATTGCAGTGATTTGTAATATTCAAATTTAAGGTTTAGTCTTGACAAATGATGTATGACCAATAATTGAAATGCAGGCAATATTTAAATCAGCTTTCTATATACGTATTTTGCAATTTGTTAGTTAATAAAGTCAGCCTAAAGTTAAGCTGATATATTGCTTATTGAGTATTAGTTAACCAGCTTGATAAATACATGTTTTGTTGTTGGTAAAACCTTAAGAAATATATTATAATGCATAGCATTGTGCAATGTCTTAAAACCCTCTGCCTTACTCCCTAAGCCACCACACCTGAAAAATGTCGTCTGCAAAAAATATTGACTGTGATTTTATTGTTTCATTTAGATCTATCTTGTTTAAGACATCATATGTCGATAAAGATTTGAAATTGTTTATTTGAAATGAACAAGCTTAATTAATATTACAAGTAAATAAAATAAATTGCAATATGTTATAGCTTAAAGCAAATTTCACCAAAAATATAAGTCATTATACATGTTTGACCTTTTTTCAAATTGAATTGTAAATTTCCTAACATTAATTAAAAATATACAATCATTCTGGATAGATAATACAGATGTACATTGATTCAAAAATTACAGTGATGCCAGAGGGTATTGCATATTTTTGAAATTATTGCTGGCAGCATCCATTTTTGCGTATAAAAAAGAATTTTATGAATCTTATATAAAGCCTTAAATCATTAGATACGTGTTTCAGTAAGAATAAAGTAGACTAACTTTTGTGCGCGAGAAAATACTTCCTCCGGTCGATTTTGCCTAGCAATGGGTCGCGTCGTAAAGAGGTCTATATTTCTGTTCCTAGGATAACTGTGTAAATTTACTCGTAGTAACAGTTCTCAAGACAAATATCTTTACATTACAAACTGACAAATAAATAATACAATTTTAGTTGATGATGAATATTCTGGTGAAATTCCTTACCCATTATATTTATATTAAAGGTGCTAGTAATTCAATACTTCAACTGATTTTTAAATATTATTTTTGACGCAATAACCGTTATGGGATATAAGTGAAGCCTATTTGTTTGTTGTTGTTGTTCTTTTTGAGGTAAATGTTAAGAAATCATCGCAAATGCAACATTTCGTATAAAAATGTTAATATTCACACTTAGATTTCACCCTTAATTGTTTAAAGGCATTGGCATATGATGGCCGAGCACTTATTCTGAAATCACAATTTAATATCTTTTAAAATTTTCAGTGTAGTTTATTTCTGAAATTCTGAAATTCCGTGTGAACTATTTGAAGTTTTCCTAATTAAAAATGTTTTCAACTTTCTCCATAGGTCATGACTGCTTGCCTACGGACATTACATTTACGCTATTTGATTGTAACATAGTTAACAATTCTTATGACACTTGTATACCAACATTCGGAAAACATTCTGGTACTTTTCTACGTTTTGTTTTATTTCAGTCAGAGAGTAACAAATAACCCGTAAAAACGGGTAGAACGGCAAACTTGAAAAGGTTGGACGCTCGGGTTGAGACCGTAGATGTCTTTTGGCACTAAATGCAGAAATAGATAACAGAATCACTATAAACATGTAATTTTATATAGAGGATATTTGTTTGTTTGTGTGTAAGATGAAATTTTATTTCATCGAGTGGCCTTTAAAAACAGTATTACTAGAACAGAATACTGTTTTCAAAGTTCACGAGAATGAATAAAATTACATCTTACACAACAAACAAACAATTCTTTTTTTATTTTATACTTAATAACAAGTTAAAACGAAATTTCCATAATATTAACGTTGATATTAAAATCCTTTTTTCCCCATTGAGAGCCCCATTTAGTCGGAATTTCTCAATAAATACAAGAAGTATTGAGCTGAAAAATAAGTTATTTTATTAAAAAAAATGGATGTTCGCTTGTTTAATAATAAAAACAAACAATTCTTGTAGGAAAAAAAGTCCAACCATCCATCCAAATTTCTGTAACTTACTGCGAATTTATATTAGACCTGGCTTTGTTAAATGTATGCGGCAGCCATCTTTTTAAATTGTGTATTTTACGGGAGGAAAATAATTGTGTATGATTCAGAGGGATATCATTTGGATTTGTTACTCATACACCTTTTTAAAAGAAAAACAAACTTATTTGAGGATTGTAACAGATAAAAAGTAAGTGTTGACAGATGTGAAAACATTAAAAAAACAGCTAGGAAAATGGAAAACTTGGAAGCTGGCTCAGGAACGCTGGGTTGTTTACTTATTCTTCGGTTGATGGCTGTAATTGCTTTTCAATTTTTCATTAAGCATACGGCAGTTATTGCTCGTATGATACTTTAACATGCCCAAATGTCACCAAGAGCAGTTTTGCATGTATTTTTCAGACTATAAATATGAAACAAAAAAATTGAGAGACGAAATTTGGTGATTGGAATTTGAATGAATAGAAGTAAGTTTTCTTATTTTATTACTTTTGACATTTAAGTTATTTATCAATTTCAGCTTTGCTTTTTCTTTAAACAGCCTGACATTGTCAGAATTGTCAGTAAAAATAACATTGAGGTACCACATGGGGAAATCTTTAAAAAGTAGTTTCGTCATTGAAAAGTGTGAAATTATATTTTGATAATTTTCACTGTGAAATTATCACATATAATTTTCATGGATAAATCAGTAATCCAGTGAAAACCATAAAACAAATCGAGTGTATTTCATATAGCATCAGACATGCGGGAAATGTCAACGTCACAACATAAGACTGTCTTACACCGACATCAGTCACACCATCTATTTTTGAAATGATGTGTTAGGTTTGTAAAATGACTTGGGGGGTTTTTTTGGCGTTGGCGACATACGAACACCTCAGAACTGCATACAGGCTTTATTATTTAGTGTTTGTATAATTTATTGGGATACTGTTTCTTATACACTTTTTTAAACTTATTGTCGCTCGGACGTTATATTTCTATTTTACAGCGAATATTCACGACTTAGTGAATAGCATTCGTATATCATTTGAACACAAAGTGTTCCATTCTGAACAAGTTATACAGGTCCAATGGTTTTATTGTGCTAGTAACAATGGATGTTATCAGAAGCTATGAAAAACTAGATGTGACTACATTTTACATTATCATTGCAAACTATTCATAGTTTTAGAATTATCATTGGCTGAGTGTAAGTAGGTTTGTACTAAGATAAAAAAACTCATTACCTCAAGTTTATTGACTTCACGCATTACTTCTATACCCTTGCTTTGTGAAGAACTCATGTGCACTCTATACTGTGATACTTTCCTGTAATTAGAATAAACTATTTGAAAAAAGTTATTAAAATAAACTCAAATATTTTGTTTCCAAAAAAGAAAGGTTCGCATTTATAATCCTTGTTCGGAAATCCGTCTGGAAATAAGAATCCATTTTATGTTCAGTAATGAAATTACAGTAGTTCCATCATGCTGCTAACCTACCACGTCACCACGTGCCAGCCCATTCTATTCTTACGTGTAATTATATATGAAGGAAAGAAGAACATTTGTTTTAACTCATTCGAGTGTTAGTTTAATCATATTTTATTGTTATTACATTTTATACAAAAACAGATACATTGTCACATGTTAACATACTACAAAACAGTAACGAATGAATTTACAGTAATTACATGGATGTTATAGTTATTATTAAAAAGCAAAAGGGTCGGGTCACAAGTTTTGACAACATTAGAGAATTGGCCCTTCCTACGAATGTTTCATCAAATAGTACCTCAAGTAAAATGCTCATCGCTTTAATTCATGTAATTGCAATCGCGAAACTAAACATCATAATTATGACGTTATAAATTTTCAACCTCACACTTATTGTTATATATCACACTAATTCTTAAAACAAAACCTATAAACTGATAATATATGTAATCTGATAACGCAAATAGCTTGCCCGTAACAGCGAATTTAAAAATCATGGTAACGCATACCCGCGCAGTGTATAAATTTGCGCTGATTACAGGCGCTTTATGATACGTATATTTTACAGTATGCACATTTAGATTTCAAATTACATCCAAACGTTACGAAGCATGGAAGTAAAGATTGCAGAAAAGGTTATTTGTGGCTATGGTTTCGTATGATATCATGTGTGACAAAACAATTACAAATCTTAGACGCCAATAATTAAGGTAATTAAAGTTATAATACCTTAAGCTGAAGTAAAGATTTTGAGGGTCATTAAAATGTTAAAGTGATAGACATTAAAGATATGAATGGCAAAGAAATCTTACTTTTTATCGACGCATTTTTTCAGAGTAACCACCCATTTGCTATCAACAAGTATACCATTGCAAACGTGTTTGTTATTAAGTTGCAACTTTACTGCAAATGAAAAGTCTCCTCCAGTTACGTCTTGTCCGTTTTTTATTCTCTCCTCTTGATTTTCCTGACATAACGCCAAAGTCATAACTGGAAAATAAATACAAGAAATAAAAAAGGAAAAATATTTCAGAAAATTAGATTAAAACAGATTCTGACTGTTGTATGAAAAATATTTAAAAAAAACTCTGATTTTTATCATAAAAACTACTTTTACTTTACAATAATAATTATTATAAAAGATCAAAAAACTAAAAATCAATGATGTCAACAGAAAACAACTTACATTTTACCAGTAATACAAATATCCCTAACTTCATGATTAGGCTATAACTGTATACTGAATAAAACTTGAATCGTAATATTTTTTTAAATCAATTATTTTTTTTAATTAAAAAGGTTATTTCCTTTTGGCAATATAGAATTGCTTGGGTCATTATTTCAAAATTACAAGATGTGTATTACGTATATCAAATATTCAATATTGAACATATTTTATTGCGAACATAAATATGGTGGCTTTTTTGTTACATAAACAAATAAATACAATAGTACAATTGAACTTGTCGATATGACAAAATTGACCAATTATATCAACAGCAAAAATGTATGACACAGACAGTAAAAAAAAAACACAGAGAAAAGGGCAGACAGAAAACTATTGGAACTACCGGAGAATTCATATGTAGTGTATGAGTTAACCAAATCATTGCCAAACATATCAAATGTTACATGAAGTTATTGAAATATAACACGGACAATTGGTAAAATGGTAGATACTGTAATAAGGTTCTTAAGACACTATATTAACTACATGTATACCTTGACGTATTTCAAGGGATTTGTATCTTAATCTTTCATCTTAAAAATGAAAATGTATTGTTACTTAATGCATATTTACTTTTATGTATAACTATCTTTACTTTATGATGGAAGTGCCCACGATAATGTGGTAAAAACTTTTGGCCTAACCCTTTGTATATTGCGTAATTTTGTTGATGTAAATGAATTGATGTAAAATTCATGTATTCAATAAAATGTTATTAAACTATGGAATTTGTATAATTATATATGTATATATATATTCATACTTTATGTTGCATGTGACTGTTGGCACTCTGCATTAGCAGGGGGGTCGGACGTATAGCGTTCGGATACGTTTTTAAGTGAAGTGTAATGGTACGATGTGGAAAAATGGCGGATTTCGAGTGTAAACACACGTCATTGTGAGTATATTTTATACAAATGCTAGAGTCATACACATTTTGAGTGGATCATGTGGGGTTTGGGTATGATAAGATACATGTACACTATAAAAGGTTAGATAATTATGACAACACTTATAACAAACTAGTCATAGTTATATACCATCATCTTCTTTAATTAACTTAAAATCTTGTTGAATATAGAATGTCGCGTGCCGGCAGTACAGGTCTTAAGCAGGTGTTGTTTCATAATCTTTATTTGGTAGCGCTATCTATTACAATCTTATATGGATGCAACTGTACTAGTGGTTCGATCTTCACTGAGCAGGGCCTTCAATAGATAAATCATCTATTTGTAGTTGAACCGTAGATATATAGTATAAATGCAGGACAAATCAGGTAAACACTTAAATAATTTTTATTCACATAAAGATATGTGTCATCAGACAATATTTAACAGCAACTGTGACAATTATTCATAGCAAAATGATGGGTAACTGCAATGTTAATTAAATATACATAGAATTCAGTTGTTAAGTTGTTGGACATACACTTGAGGTTGTTGACTTATGATACTTATGGATAATTTGCCATAGTATTGTACAGGATGTATTCAATTTAAAATTCTGCTAATATTATCGCGTATTAAAAATATATTACAAGTTAGTGAACCGTAGCAGCTTATATCATTTATCAATAAGAGCAGAGAATAAAGTTTAAAGTCAATAAACATTAACTATAATTTATGAAACTGTATTAAATTATAATGTAAAATCTTATACCATTTGTATTTTGTAAGTAAATTGTCTTTCTGTAAATAAAATTTGCTTACTAAAATAAATGGCACATAATACAAACAAATTTACAAGTTCAGGGGCCGCTAAAATTTCTAATACATACTTCAAATTTTCTAAAACAGCGTAAAAGGGTGTTGCTTAAAAAATATAGACAAGATTAGACTGACTCAAACGGTTGATTTTGTCGTATTTATATGAAAACGCCCAACCACTGCCCAAAAGTGGTTGGAATGAACAATCAAATGATCGGAAACGATCATAAACTGATCGGACTGAACTTAACTTAACTTAAATGGAGGAAAATTTTACAATAAGAGAGCTAAAAACAAATACAATAATGACTATTTCCAAAAATATTCTACCTTTTGCGATGCAATTTCTTGTGCATAAAGTCGGAACATCTTTTATTATTATTATTATTATTACATACCACATTTCTATAGCACTCTTTTCATAAATAATAAATGTTCAAGAGTGCTTTACATAAATCCGATAAAACATAATCATATATATATATATTTTGAAGATGTGATTGGTAAATGCCTTACACATTGGCATCTGTTTTAGTTGTTGGAAAAGTATGTTTCATTCTTGATTCTGTGAAAATGGGACTTTATTTCATGCGCATGCATTTATTTAAGATAAAAAACACTTGTAACTTAATTTAAGAGCACATATAAGTACATGGCCATATTTGCATGCAATGTAATGCTTTTAACCTATTTCAGCCGGCAAGTTCCATATCGGTTAACAATAGTTCTCTTTGACATTTCGTATCTTTGTAGATAAAATGTTGATTTCTGTATTGGCACGTGTGTGTTTGTGATGGAGGATTTAGACCCAAAAAAAACAACTGTAAGAATATACTTGGAATAATTTTATAACACTTCTTAATTTTTTACACATAATCTTGTAAATAATCTGTCTCTCATTTCAGTTTTAATTAAAGCATTTAATTCAAACATCTCTTGAAATTTCTCTTACCTCAATATAATGACTAAATAAACCTTGCATTAACGTTCATTAAAGTTATGACTTGGACATTAAAGTTACAAATGATTCTATTTTATCTTGATCTAGTACTTATATTTTGCTCTCACGGATTTTGCTCTCATAGATTTAGCTCTGATAAATTTTACTAATTCTACGAATCAAATATAAGTCCAAGATCAAGATTCTTTTATATTAACCCTGAATAACATGCTTTATTCTTTTGAAAAACAAATTAAATATTCACACAATATCTAATACGAATTTATATAGTTACAAGTTAAGTTGATTATAATTAGTTATTGATCATTTCTATGCATGTATTTAAAATATTACTTTTCTTAGTTTCAGACTTTTAACAGTATCCGTGTTTGTTTTTAGACTGATAAGGTAGATGTAAATGTCAAGTTCCTGCATTCAATGCTCTACAAGCAATACGTCTGATAATTCTGATCCCAAACTACACAACCTGAAAAAAGAAAACACATTTGTTGAGAACATATGACATAAGGTTGCAAATATACAATGAAATTATCCCATCTGCAATAGTCAAACAGTCAAAAAAGTTGCAGTTAATTCCGTTGATGCATAAAATCTACTGTGGCCCGAGACCAAAACAACACATTTTCTCCCTCTGGCAAAAACAACCTGCGAATATACAGGTTAAAGAAACGTCGTCTCTGCTCTAGTAACTCCCTATACATGCAAAATATCACAAAGAAACTGGTGCTGCTCAACCCTGTAGATATTTTGCTACTCCTTAAAGGTTTGTTTTTGAATTTGCCACTGATCAAATTAGATGTCACAAAAACAAATTTTATGCTGAAAATGCACTTTAAAGCCCAAAAATCAATTACAGTAGCTCCTTTGTGTGCAGGAGCGTTGTCATGCAGAAAATACAGACCTTTCAGACCAGACGAAGGACAAACTTCATTTGAAAGCAGGTGTTTTAAAGCAAAACATAGTTTACACAAACACAAAAATCTCGAGCTCAATTAGAAAATATACTCCATATAACATATTGACCCATCCTCGTTATGAAAAATCGCACAGAATTGATGGACCTCGTTTGATTTAAAATAACTTTACTGTGTTTAATTAATGATTTTTTCAATGCCCCTTACGGTGGCATTGATAACTCTAACATCTTGAGAAAATTTTATAAATGAAAAGCTTATGCTAGAGTAACACAAACATATATGCAGAATGAAAACTCTATAATAGTATCTTGATCTGTTACTTAAATTTTGCTCTCATGAATTTTGCTATCATGAATTTTGCTCTCATGAATTCTGCTGTCATGAATTTTGTTCTCATGGATTTAGCTCCCATTTATTTTAATAGAACACATCAAACACAACTCTCCCTACATCTTCCTCTTCTATTCTACGCGAACCAAATATAAGTCCCATGTCAAGTGTCTATAGTATTATTTTCGATTCTTTTGAGAGAGAAAAATATATTCACACGATAACTAACACGATTTATATATTTACATAATTATTTATTTATATATTTACAAGTTAAGTTACAGTGATTATTATTATAATTAGTCATTGATCGATATTCATATCTTAAATTTGCCAGGTATTTCAAAACACGTTTCAAAACAGAAAGAAATTTCAAGACTTTCATTGACATGCATATTTCAGCTTCATTTGAGAAAGACCTACCAATTTACTTTGTTTTCTAGATAAGAGTTCTAGCTCAAGTTCAATAGGGAACAAATATATTGATGACATTTAGTCATTTCAAATGGAAACAAGAGACAAAAAAAATTTGGCAAAATTTTTTAAACGGAAGTGGAATTGTTGATAAGGAGCTGTTCGTGCCGTCTTAAAGATATACTATGCTCAAATTTGATATTGATAATTGCTACACAAGGTCTCACCCGATAGTCTAGAAAGTAGTTATTTTAAATTTTAAAGTGGTCCAATTTTAAGTTATTTCTAGCTCGATTGGTCATAATTAAAGTGTATTTATTGCATCTGTGTAGTTTTTTTTGTGTAATATGGTGACTTTAAAAGTTGTTTTTTGTGTATTCTCTAGGACCTCATTTGTTGGCGGAAGGACTAAAGATGTACTACCCACCACTAGTCAGGAGTTTTTAAGCGGTGAATTTAAACAGTGTTACAACAGAATGAAGATTTCTTAAAAAGGTAGATGGCTAACACATTATATTTCGGGCATCATTTGACTTAGATAGTGTTGATGTTTAAAGTTGAAGACTGTATATAATTCAACAAGAACACTGGAATCAAGAATTAAGCCTCAAATGTGACTGATTTACTATAGAACAAAGAGTACGAAAATTCACTGGGCCGAGACCACAATCTCTTTGTAACTATAAAATAAACATGGTTTGACTTCACACAA